AAATGTGGGTGGATTTTTCCTTAAGCCTAGATTGTTGATCAGAAACCCCTGTACCTTTCTCTCGCCAAGAGTGAATATTCATTTGGAGTCCGTGCGGACAGCTGCACATTGAGGGCCAGTGGTTATCAAGTAAATGTTGATGAAACGTGGCTACGTCACCGTTTCGTCCCAACCAAGGGCTTTGGAAGGATGGATGATTTAGACCTCAGGGCCCCAACGATAAATGAACAGTAACTGCCTTCCAACTCCCACCAGTTGAAGACTGTGCCGCTCATCCGACAAATGATTTCTGAAAGAGAATGATGAACCCCCTTATTACCCAGATGCTCTTAACTTAATCCCAAACAAGAATCCTGGGTAACTGTACAGACGCTATAAAGATTGATGGCGTAGTTCTCCTTTGGCAGCTCGCAAATGTTTGTTTGACTAAATCAGAAATGGCGTTCAGGCGTGATTAATGATTCTACTGGGCTTCCCAGAAATCCTCAGCCCCGTGCGATCCACACCCTAACTCACCGCCGGTGCTACAGGACAGAGTCGCCACCCCGGCTCCCACGATCAGCAACGGCATGCAACCTGCAACCTCCAGGCTTCCCATGAATTTGTCCTTAAAAAATCACTGAGGGGAACCCACAGCTCCTGCTAGTGTTTACATATGTCAAGATATGGCTGTTATCGTGTTATCGTATCACGACGGATCAGTAAGCAGCGGTGCCAACCAGCAAGGCAGATACTTTATATCAGAGTTGGGAACATCATTTCCTTGATAGGCTCTTTCATTTTTTTCTGGATTACGGACTGATGCCCCCCCCCCCCCAGAGTGGCATGAAAGTCATTTGATGGCGATGAAGGTGCTCTTTAAAAATTTTTCTTCTATCAATCAGTTTAAAAATGTTTTCTCTTGTATCAGCAGAACCAGCTTATTTACTAATGAGATTTCCTAATGTGGCTCCGTCTCACTCTGGTGATAGGCCGAAAAGCTGATGAGCCCCAAATTAGAACTCGTTATTAAACCGTCATCCCATCTGATCATATAAAGATGTCACTCAGAGGCTGCCATGGGTGCAGCTGAAAAGAGCATTCCCTGAGAAGCCGAAAGGGTCGTGGGCTTGGGACGAAAAGATGCCGTCACTACTTCACCGTCCAGTCTCTCTCTTTGCCAGATGTGCACAGTTGATCTTCAGAGCGGAAAAGGTGGTCTTTGCTTTCAGGTGCCCTGCTGTATGTGTTCTTCTACAGAGTCAGCACCGCTGGTGATGAGGTTTAAATTGTGTATCGCCCTGAGCCTGGGGGCCAAGGAATCAAAGCCAGCTCTTGATAAAAGACTGGGCTTTACTCAACTTGACGGTTGTCAGCATGGTAGCCAAGTGGCGGTTTACATGAAATGAGGTCGATTGCAATTGCTTTCACATTCCGTGGAGGGAAAATGCATGCCCCCTGGCTCCCTCATCAACTCGATTCTGAATCAACGTAAGCGCAGAGTTTCTCTGCAAAAATACCATTCCAACAATGCAAGAGAGTGCAGCATGGTATCGTTTTAGAATGTCAGAGTGGCAAAAGATTACACTGGGTTTGGAAGAATTCCGTTTGTTGCTTTCCCACGTGGCCAACTTTGATCTTTTCTCAGGATTGGTGGAGCTGTGAGAGGCCAGTTTGTTGTGATGTATGAATGCTGATACTATAACCGCTCTGGGGTGGGGTTGAGGGAGCCTGGATTTAGGGATGAGCTGACCGGCTTCTCCCACCACTTGAGAGCTGATGCCAAGGGCCCTGACCACTCTTTGGTGGTTTGGGCAGTTGCAAAGTAAACTGGAAATCGAAAACAGATATCCAGAAAATTATTCAAAAACACCATCTCCACCTGACATCTGCTAAGAATCGAGGCCAAGATGATATTTGCTTGGGTTGGCGAGATGAGCATCTCTACTCTTCCATTTGTCTTTAGAGGTGCTTTGCTTGCCTTTTTTCCCCACATGGGATGCAGGGGCGTCAGATAAGCCACTGGAACTTCGTTAGATAAATGTGCTAAGCTAAGGGTTATTAGGAGTAATAATTCAGTGAAAGGAAATTTGGATGACATGGGCTCATGTCCATTAGACCTGAGCCACACAGATTGATTTGAAAAGAAACAGGTGAACCCAAGAAAATAAACAATTGGCTGTTTGGGGAGTGGGCATGGGTGACAGGGCTGGGGAAATCACACACCGATTACTATTTCGTTAAAGACAAGTCACGTCAGGGGTTCAATTTTTGGACCAAAGGGCCTTGTCCAATACAGTCAGGCAGCCCGTTATTATCAGAACTCAGGCATCCCATTCCCATGCCACGCCACCCTCCTCTGCACAAGCATGTCTCTTCAATGTATTTGACCACATGGTTTCCAGACAAATGCAATAAACGTCCCCCCGCCCCCCTGCAACAAAAACCCCAAGTCTACTTTATAGAACTTCCCTACAATCATAATACCTTGAGACCTTGATTCTCAGAATGACCTTGGCTCCCGAGGGTTGTACGAAACAACCACGGTGAATGCAAACCCTATGGGGGGGATGCTCTCCAGTAACCTCTCTGCTTGGGCACAGTTTTAAACCCTGTAGGGGGAGAAAAAGAGTAAGCTTTTGGGTGGGGATGGAAACTCATTTCCCTCGCAGTTAGACGTCCTTAATGTTTTCCTAATGTTGACCTTATCCCCAGTTATCTTTCTCTATTCTCCCCTGCCTCCCAGCCCCCCTTCTCTGTCAATTAGTTGATGCAGCAAGGGCTGTGATGCACGTAACTAATCACGAGACGCCGGATAAACCGTATTGGTTTCAAACGAGAGCCGTGCCGACGGTGTCCCCCTACGCACACTATGGCTTTTGCAAAGCAAAGTGATTTCTTGCCCTCTTTCCAGCATCCCTGACAGGTATTCTGTCAGCCCGGATGATAGGGTGCCCCAGCGGCACACACGTCCCTAGCCACAGCGCCATCTGCTACTCAAAAGGTCAGCCGGAAGTGATGCATTGCACTCATTACAACATGCATTTTGAAGGCGGCTGGGAGGACGTGGCCCCCCCGCCACGGTCCCACTGCAAGTAGGGGCTGAATACCACACCTCTAAAACGGTTTCCAGGGTAAGGATAAATTCACAAACGTGTCTTGTGTCTGCATGAGGCACGTGTGATGGTGGGGAATGTGTGTATACGTGTGTCTCAAACATTTTAACACAGCATCACAAACCCTTCCTCTAGCAGCCCCATGGGCAACGAATGAGGAAAAATCTGGCACCAGTCCCGCTTGGTTTGCTACCTGATGGGCCATGATTAGCGTGGTTGCTTTAGTTCGGAGAGAAGTTTCTAGAAACTTCTCAGTGTCAAAAGACATTATGCGTTGAGAAGTGAGGGAGTTGGATGAATTTGCTCTCGCGTGTTCAAAAGGATCCCATCTTCTTCTCGTTGCTCAGAAGAGACATCTGATGTGATTAACTGATAGACGTGTAGTCTGTTTTCAAAGCCTTTTCCTATATGAGGTGTAAAAAGTCACACTGGCTTTACGAGCAGAGTTTATGAACTCGTTTTCCCTGGGTGGTCCCATCGTACCTTTTACAGTCATGTGCTTTGAGTTCGGTACCCTCGGCCGTGCTGAGATCCAGATGCATCTGAACCAGGTGGGGAGAGACTCTTGCTCATTGCCAGTTAGAAGAAAACCTTTCCATCACCTCTTTTCTTAAAAATAACGTTCCGTGGTCTCTGTTCTTTGCCTTCCAGCAACAAGGAGCCGCCACCACCGTCTTCTGTGCTGCCGCTCCAGAACTGGAGGGTCTGGGAGGGATGTACTTCAACAGCTGCTGCCGCTGCATGCCCTCGACGGAAGCCCAGAGCGAAGACACCGCGCGGGCCCTGTGGGCGCTCAGCGAGAGGCTGATCCAGGAAGGACTTGGCAGCCCGTCCGGCTAAGTGGGCGCTCGGCAAGGATCGGCACACGTGCCCACCATGCGCGAGTGCTCGGGCGTAACTGCCAGCGCTGGACCCCTTCCAACTTATCATGCCAGGGCTTTCCATGTCCCTCCGACCCAGATCCGCTAGAGTCAAGGATATGAGTCGTCACAACAGAGCGAAAAATGTTACGTACCCGTGGGAAGCGGGGAATTCTGGGGGTAAAGGGACAATACGTCTTTTCTGGGGCTGGGTCAGGCCTGGGTCCCTCTGCTCCCCTGGTGATGGCCTGTTTGTTTGAAAGTGAAGCTTTCTTGCTCGGTAGGTTCTTCGTCTCACGGTAGAAGCACGAGCAATCCTCACGGTGTAGGACAGCCTGGTGCCCCACTCCCCCGCCCCAGGCGCAGCCTCCATGGCCACACTGTAGCCAGGAGCTGCCTTTTTCTTATTTAGGGAAGAAAAAGGCCAGTGTTTATCCTTCGCTGCACTGATCCAGGAGATAACTTCAGCCTGATCAAGTCGGAGTGGCCTTGGCAACTACTGGAGAGAGGACCCTCTGAACCTTGTTCCAGCCGAGACGGAGGTGACACTTAGTCACAATTACTGGGTCGCCAAGTACTGGTCCACCAACTCCCCGGCCAAAGCTATACAGAAGATTCTTTAGCGATTATAACAAACACATTTTGTAAATCATTCCCTAGATACCTTGACAGGCAGGAAAGGAAGTCTTGCGCCATTACAGGATATTTTGGGGATGGGGGATAAAAAGCTGTTCCCCCCATTCTTCACTCACAGTTTTGGGAAACAATGCCATCGCGGAGGTTCACAGCCCCTCAGTGTTCAGCATCCTGCTTCAGTGTCCTCTTGTTCCTCTCATCCTACGTTTAATAAAAGAGCATGCTTGAATAGTATCACCTGAAGTTTTTTTGTCTTGTTCCTTTAAATGTTTGTTTCAGTTTTGTCTTGTTTTGTTTTTTTAGAAAAGCAATCTAGAGGAAAAATAAAGCGCTTCTTGTAGACGCCAGGGAAACACCATTCTCGTTTCTTCTCTGAGTTTTGTTTTGTTTTTGTGCTTTGTGGCTGTCTGCGGGCCGAGTTGTCTCACGCAATTAGCATGCCAGCATCATATTTTCTGTTGAAGAGAGAAAGAAAAAGAAAAATGACTATCACTTAATTTCACCTTAAGAGGTTTTATCATCATGGATCGTGGATCATTTCAGTCCCTCGATGGTTTGTTCCCCCTGTAACTACCAAGTTCTTGCTGATTAGAAACCATCCCTGCTTAGGAGAATAGGGGGGTGGTTTGGAGGCTCTTCCCCACTCATCCTGTTATCACTTACTCTGTGGTTTCCAGGCCATTCCGGCAGGGATGTAAGAAAGGCCACTTTGGCAAGGTGGAGAGAAAGCTTTTGCTGAAATACCAGGAAGGTGGGGGCAGGGGGTGTGTGTCACTGTTCCTCTTGACAGTGGCAGCTTCAGCCCAGACAACGTCATGACTTTCTGGGCCTCTGGCTCTGTGGTCAGTCAAACACCAGTGCTTTCCAGTGGTCCAGAGCCTGGCTACGTCCTCCCATCTGGCTATATTCGCCCTTCACAAAATCCTTATTGTCACAGCACCTTTCAAACTATGCATCAGATAATGTCACTTTTCTGGTCCAAACCCTCCAGTGCTTCTGCGGTAGACTATTTGCAAACGTGGCCATTGTAATTCTCCTCCCAGTCTCCACACCTTGGGTGGTCCTCTCTCTAACTCTGGCCTTGGCCACATGACTTGCTTTGGCCAATTTAAAATGTGCTTGTGCACTGGGCTTGCCCTTTCTTGTTGCTCTTTGGAATCCTGCAACCACCATCCTATGAATGGGCCTGGGTTAACCGGCTGGACAATGCGAGCCACATGGCCGCTCCCCAAACCAACAGCAGACTACTCATTCATTAGACGTGCAAGCGAGGCCACCCCAGACCATGTAGCCCCAGCCAAGCCAACCCAGATGAGAATACCCCAGTCCACCCAGAGAACTGCAAAAAGTATGTTTCTCATGTTAACCCACAAAGCTTCAGGATGACTTGTTACACAGCAAACACTAACCGATACAACTGCTCATCTCACTGACTAAAGTCCACATTTTTTTTTTTTTTTTTTTTTTTTACCACAGTCAAGGAGTTCTCCCATAATCTGGTCCACAGCAGACTTTCCGATTTCATGTTCTAGCATCTTCTCTTCATTCACTACATTTAGCCACGCTGGCCTTCTTGTTCTCCTGAAATAAGCCAAGCAACCTCCCTACTCAAGGACTTTATACTTGCTGTTGCCTCTGCTGAATTGCTTTCCTGCCAGAGACCTGCATGGCTTCTTCCCGCACTGCATTCTGCTTTCCCCCTTTCCGATGAGGTGACATTCTGGCCACCGCATTCACAGTGGCACCCCATCTGCCCACCCCTCCCCTTTATTTTTCTCCACACCGCTTAATACTATTGGACAAGTTATATGTCTGTCTATTTACTATTTTCTCTCTCCACCTCCTATAATATGAACTCCCTGAGATTTGTCTGTTTTGTTCACAACTGTGGCCCCCGTGCCTTGAACTATTCCTGTTATACAGAAGGTGCTTAATAAATGACCTTTGAAGGAAAAGACGATTCTTGGTGACTGAGCATTACATCCACGAAAATAATTCCCATCCTTGTGAGAATGCGCACAAGCCACCCACTGTGCCGGGCGGGCTGCAAAATTACGTCTAATGTGACCAAGGTCCTCCCAGGCAGCCTCCTCTTCCCGTCTTATGGATAAAGAATCTGAGGCCAAGAGGTTTCATAACTTGCCACTGTCCACAGAGCTCATAAATGATAGAGCTGCTGTTCACACCCAGGCCTGTTTCTTTTCAAAGTTACACACTTCCCTGCACCAAGGCCACCGATCCTTCAAGAAGCTGAGAATGTCCTTTCCAATAGGAGGCACCGTTTTAACATCTCAGGCTGAGCAGAGAAGTGACATTACGGGTCTGACTGTAGCTCAGCATTAGGAATTTGGTGAAGGGGGAGTCAAGCCACGGCACAAAAGATGTCAGAGTCTCATCAGGCAAGGTTATGTTCAAAATATCAGAGAACCAGGGGAGCATCTCCTGCTGCCTCCTTGCACCGTTAAGGCCTCTGTGCTGATGCCCATATGAATCCTGCATCAGGAGGTAAGATGATGCGTGAGGGAACTTGACCAGGGGAGGGAAGCATTCGCCTCAATCAAGAAGCTCCCCTAAACCTTCCCACCCTGTTGGTGGGATGTAGATTGGTGCAGCCACTATGGAGAACAGTATGGAGGTTCCTCAAAAAACTGACAATAAAGTTGCCATATGATCCAGCAACCCCACTCCTGGGCATATACCCAGACAAAACCGTAATTCGGAAAGATACACGCACCCCAGTGTTCACTGAAGCACTATTCACAATAGCCGAGATATGGAAGGAACCTAAATGTCCATCGACAGAGGAATGGATAAAGAAGATGGGGTACATGTACACAATGGAGTATTACTCAGCCATAAACAAGAACGAAGTAATGCCATTTGCAGCAACATGGATGCAACCAGAGATTATCATACTAAGTGAAGTCAGCCAAACAGAGAAAGGCAGATATCCTATGATATCACTTACACGTGGAATCTAAAATATGACACAAATGAACTTACTTACAAAACAGACTCACAGAGAAACCAAACTTATGGTTACCGAAGGGGAAAAGAGGAGGGGGGTAGGAGAGATAAATTAGGAGTTTGGGATTAGCATATACAAACTACTATATATAAAATAGATAAACAACAAGGTCTTACTGTACAGCACAGGGAACTATATTCAATGTCTTGTAATAAACTGTAATGGAAAAGAATATGAAAAAGAATACATAGATCTGAATCAGCTTGCTATACACCGAAAACTAACACAACATTACAAAGTAACTATACTTCAGTTTAAAAAAAAAAAAAGAAGGTCCCTAAGTCAGACTAAGTCTTCATACAATCATCCATCCAACAAACGTACACGGAGTGCCACATTATGGAAATTCAAAGTTTAGGGTAACACCCCTACCATAGTTAGAGCTATAAAAAAATTTATATCCTGGGTCAATAGGAGTCTTCACAGTACACAGGTCCTAATCAACTTTACCAATACTTCTCCAGGTTACTTGATAAACAGAGACCCCAGAACAAAAACCAGGCCTCCTCTTACCCGTTATGCCCTGAATCCACCCAGTCAGACGGCACCAGTCCCTGTGGTGCATTGCTCCTGCCAGATGCATCTTACTTCTTTGGCTGATTCTGTGGGGCAATTCCTGGACAGGTGAGCAAGTGGGTAGCATAAAAAGCCTCATTCCTTTGTTAGCTTATTCTAAATCCAGGACTACTGCTCACCATCTGTCATGATATACATATATACACACACACACACATATGTAATATATATGTAATATATACCTAGTTTTCCATCATCACTACCACTATTTGCAGGTACTATTTATTGAGCATCTACTATGTGCCAGTTGCCAGTCTGGGCAAATCACACCCACCTTCTTATTTTATGCTCAGATGATAAGCATAAAATAAGTGACCTTTCCGTGGTCCCCTAGCTGGTAAGCAGCAGAGTCAGCACCTGAATACAGGGCCATCGCCTCCAGGTCCATGTGCCTCCCACTGCATCCCACTGTTTAAAGGACGGCCTGTAGACCACCAGTAGACATATAAATAAATGTATACAATGGGTGAATTATTCACGAAGGAAGACTCTTAGGCTTCCTAGCCAAGCCTGGGATCTGCTTCGACTCCTGGTGCCTCACGTCTGGTATAAACTCTACGAATTCTGTCCATGCTGTTTACCCAGCAATATTGGCTTCAGCCCCGTACACCTTTTTCTCCTGTTCTGGTTGTAAACAGGTCTGCACCTGGCCTTCTTTCCCCTGGGTTTATTAGCCTCTGATGGACTCAATGTCCAGAGTCCTCCACCACTGCCCCAGGGCCACAGAATCCACTCAGGACAGGAAGAGGGAGCCAGAGTTTCTACCGTCGTTTTCCCTGTGTCTTTAAAGCCCAAAGGCTGCCGGTTTCCACTTTCACGGCTGATGAAGGCAGACCTTTCTGCCACTTTTCAATAGGAAACAGGAAACTGAAGCGTCCCCGGCAATGACTGAAGCTGTGGCTTGTGGTTTTGCTCTTTAAAATGGGGTGATGGGTGGTTTTGTTTTGAACTTCCATGAAGGAGGCCCGATTACTTTCATTAAGGTCAGCGCTGGCCCGGAAAGCCTTGGCTCACAAAATGGCTGCCCGTTCGGGTCACCAGCAGGTACTATTTGGAGACGTTCACATTTTTTTAAAAAAAGCACCTAAAATAGCGATATTTCTTTTACCCTGTTAACTTTTTGTGCCTTTCCGCATATCCAAACTAGTTGGAATTCATTTTAGAATAATAAATAATATCACATAATATGATCCACATGATGACTGAAAAAACTCTGAATTCTGTCTACTTGACGAGATGCTACACTAACGATAAAGGTGAATTTTAAAAAGGAAAACGACAGGCTCAAATACCACTATCCTAACAGAGATATTCATCTCTGTTCATTACCTTTCAGGGCTTCATACTATTTGGTTTCATGCCCTTCTTTTTATCTCCCCCCCCCCCCATTATCTCCTTTCTCAGTTTTCAGTTATTTTAATGGATGCCTCATATATAGTCCTGCTGGTGGGCCGTCGTTTGGAAACTCCTACTCTGGGATAGTCAGGTAATTTCTAGTTTTTGCTGTTAGAACTAACAGCTCAATTAGCATCTTCATGCACACAGCTTTTTCCTTCTATTAATTTTCCTCCCCAGCATACACCTGCATCCCTGAAACTCTTAAATCCAAGAGTTCTTCTTTGACTTTTGCTGCATACTTCCATGTGTGATCTGGAAGGGAAGCAGAAGGTATATATTTCTGGGTTTTTGGTGTTTTTTTTTTTGGTTCGGTTTTTTACAACCTCATCAGCATTGGGTATTGCTATTTAATTTTTTTTTTTTAACATTTTAACTTCCTATTGTCACAATCTATAACTATTTATATAAAATGCCCCCAAGCAGCCAGTCTCCTTATTTAAAGTATAAGCATTT